GCTTCCACAAGGGCAGTGCTACTGAGGGCCTGAGAATGCCATACAAGAACAGTAATCCCCAGTCAGACAGGAACAGAAAAAATGAAACAGAGCTTTGTACCTCCTGGGTTGTTACTATGACTGAATTGTGGCCCCCTAAATTCATGTGTTGAAGCCCCAACTCCACTGATGGTATTTGGAGATGGGACCTTAGGAGACAGTTAGAAGAGGTCATACATGAGGGAACACGATAGAAATAATAGCATTCATGTTCTTATGAGGAAAGAAAATGGAGCGCTCCCACCCCACTCGCCCCTCCTAACAGGATTCTGTAAAGTGGTGGATGTAAGTCAGGAAAATGGCCCTGAACATTCCAGACCCTGATCTCAGACTTACAGCTTCCAGAACTGTGGGAACATAAATGTCAATGATTTAAACCATCCAATCTATGGTATTATGGCAGCTAAAACTAACTAATATATACTACCTAATATACATTTTTTAAATGTGAGGACTGAGAGTTCTGGAAAAAAAACAAAGAAAACTTTCTTTATAATAGAGATTAGAGGGTATATCAAGTTCATGGCCAGGGAAGACTTTCTAAAAAAAAACAAGTCAGGACTCAGGAAAGCTTTAATGACGCTTAACTACAAATGTGAATATTTCAAGATTAGAAAAGTAGATACTATTGTGAAGAACTCTTGGCTAAGGAATCCAGGTAGAAATTTTGTGTTCAACTTTTCCCCCAGTAAATTCTTAAGGACCTGGATGACACTTCAGATTTAGTGCCTTGTTAAAGGGCATCACAGTCCTAGGGCTTATCAATGCCACTGAGATGAGCATTGCTCCTCCTGTGATTTTTAACGTAAGTCAGTGACTATCTAGTTTTGCTCGAATTACGCAGAAGAATGCTTGCCCTGAATGAGGTCTATTCTGCAAAGAGTTACTGTATTATGTTTAACATTGTTCAGGGAAATATCAATAAACCTTGTTTCATTCGATCAAACTGTGGCTTCTCTGGAACCAATAATTGCATCTGGGATTTTTGCTGACAATAGTTATGAACATAGGAGATCAGAGCAACTGCTTCCACCTCTGAGATTTCATCTCAGAGTTGCCTCTTAACATAAATAAACTCAGGGGCAGAAAAGCACTGGAGCGTGGTGCTGGGAGCAAGGGCAATCCCAGCTACAAAGCAGACACAGCTCCTGCAATCACTGGTGCAAGCAAGCACTGCCCTGCAACCTGAGGTCTTTCACAGTTGGGAAATGACTGGGACCTGCCTCTCCTCCCCTCCTCCACCTTTAGGATGCGGCCAGCTCATGGGGTGAGAAGCTGTGTTGGGAAGGCCAAATGCAAAGCGGGTTGTTTCTTTAGATTTCAGGTGTCAGTAGGAAAAGCTTCACAAGTGCAAAGGAAAACTCAATAAAATTAAGTCATTTTCCTCCACCTCTGTCCTCAGATGCTTTTCCCTCTCTTAATAGCTTTTCATGCATCTCCCTATTTAACTATGTATAGCTCATGGCCCATGTAGACCAAGTACACACTCATAAGATGTGAAATAAAACCCACTGGGGAGCTGGGTATAGTGGCACACATTCTGGGAGGCTGAAGCAGGAGGATCACAAGTTCAAACATGGTCTGGGTAACTTAGCAAGACCCTGTCTCAAAATATTTTTTAAAAAAAATTTAATGGGCTGGGTGTGGCTATAGCTCACTGTGAAGGACCTGAGTTCAATCCCCAGTACTACTAAAATAAAACACTGGAATACCCATAAGAAAAGTGAAGAGAATTTACTTTGTGAAGAATCCTTGATCAGGGGGATGGATAAGATCAAAATATGTTCACTAAAACACACGTGACACTACAGGGGATGGTGGGACAAAGGGGATGGTAGGAAGTGGAAAATAATTAAAGTCTGTTATGTGCATGTACAAATTTGCCAAAATGAAATCAATTAATTGGCATATCTAATAAGCACTAAATAAAAAATATGTGGAAAAATACTTTAAAAAAAAAATCCTGGTCCAGACATTCCAGTGAAGACTTCTGCAAGAACATTTTCAAACTTAGTGGTTACAGAAGTGACATAGTGGAGATCAGAGCCGTCTACCCACTCGCCATCTCCGAGTCACCACATGGCTTCAGGGGGGCTAGGTCAGTCGCGTGTGGTGACACATGTCTGCAGGCTGTCAGGAGCTGAGGCAGGAGACCAGGAGTTCAAGACCAACCTTGGCAACATAGCAAGAGGTTAATTTTTAAAAGGGGGCAGGGAGGAGAAAGAAATTATCTTCTACCCCTGTTCTTCAGTGTAGCCACTTATAAGGTGGACACCGATGACCCCTGCTCCCAAAGGAACTGTGTTGCATCATTCATATTGGCACGGTGCTCCAAAGTGTTCCGAGGAAAGTGAATGCACTTTTCACCAGCTCACCAGCTAAGACAGGTGGGACTGCAGTCTGAGGATGTCCTACTGAAAGATATATTTCTTATATTTCAGCCCACTAATTCTTTAGCATTTATAGATCTTGCCATAATTGCCGAGCACTTTGTAAACATTTGGCGAAACTGGCCCTCCAAACAGCCATATTCTCAATTAAGGTGGGGACAGAGAGGGCGGCACAGGCTGTAAGGGTGCCTGGCCAAGAGCCAGGAGCCAGCAGGTGCACGTGTATGGTCTCCACCGTGGGGCTCTCTACCTGCAGCCCTCGATCCAGCCTGAGCGCAGCTGTTCCATGGGTGCTACAGCAGGGGAGGTCTGTGCCGGAGACACCAGCTCAGGGCAATGCAAAATCCAAGCCCAGGGGTAAGGGGGCAGCGCGTGTCACAACACAAACAAATGCACTGCGCCTCACAGCAGCGCTCCTGGAGAGGTGCCTTCTGGCTACATGGCTCCCTTGTTATCTCTGTGCCCGGTGTCCTCACATTTAATGGGGACAGTAACAGCACCACCTTCACAGGATTGTTTTCAGGATTACAAAGGTTAAATCCCAAAGAGGGCTCACCACACTGGTCAGAGCTGGTGCGGCCAAGCCCACAGTCAGTGCTGACATCAGAACAGCTTCATCGGATAGAGCAAGAGAAACACTCACACTCGGGACTCCCTTCCCAAATCCTCTCTCCAGCAGTCCTTGCTTGTATTAATGCTGGGCATAAAAGGAAGAAGTTATGAGTTTAGAGTTATTTAAAATCACATCAAGCCAGAGCTCTGCCCCTGGCTCCATCCTTTTTTTAGCTATGAGCTGCTGGGTAAGTTGTTTAACCTCATTAAAACTCAGGATTGTGTCATGGGAGCAAGGATGTCTGTCTCAGTGTATTTTCAAGAATTAAACACGATGAAGTATGTTGGAAGGGCTGTCACCATGGCCAGAACACAGTGCCTCAAAAATGGACACTAACCCTCTCCTCTCTGCTTACTTGAGCAAAGGAGCTGATTGTAAGAAAGCCAACATGAGCTAATGCTTATTTGCTCATTTGTTTGTTTGGTTTGGTCTGGTTTTTTGAGACAGGGTCTCGGTTTATAGGGCAGGTTGGCCTTGAACTCACAGCAATCCTCTTGCCTCAGCCTCCAGGGTGCTAGGATTACAGGTATACACCACCATCCCTGGCTATTTGCTCTTTAGAATCCCAGAGACCTGGTAAATACACTTCAGATGCACCAGGCAGCTTGCTCCCTCAGTGGACCACCAGCACCGGCACCCCTTGGTCCCCCAGAGCTCAACAGAAATGCACCTGACGCCACATCTCATTCCCACCCAGCCCCACTGATGTGGAGTCTGCATTTCAAAGAGTCTCATCCAGCCACACATGAAGCTGAGAGTCACTGCGCCAGAGCTCAGCCTCCGAGCCAAGCTGGAGTCAGTTCAAGTGCAGCCCTCCCCTCTTCTGGCTATGGATATGTGGCTTAACCTCACTGAGCCTCCATGTCCCCAAATGTTAAAGTAGGGTGCCCTACAATAACCTAGCTCCTGAGGTGGTTATACAAATAAAATGAGGTGGCCCAGGAAGAGCTCTTGTACCATCTGATATGTGATAATAAATGCAGGCAATTTTAGAGAATATATGTAGATGACAAATTAGAGAACAGGCCATCTCACTGGAAGCTCCTGAGAACCCTGGACTGGGGAAGAACGGGTGTCTTCATGTTCTGGAGGGGTATCCTGGGCACGGGTGAGGGCAGGACTTGAAGTCTTGAGAGCATGCTCAGCTGTTCTAGCCAGAGTGGGCTAACCTCACACCCTCACCTAAAGAACAGTCTGTCTTGGGATGCCCTACATGGAGCCTTTGGCCACAGAGAAGGGACACAGGTGCTAGCCTCTGCCTAGCCAGGTCACCTCTGTGACCCAGGCCTTCTGATCCCCAACTCTGCTCTCACGCGCCCCGGGCACCTGCTTCCAGTGTGGGTAACCATGGAGGAGAGCAGTGTTACTTCCCCCAAAAGCCTGCCTGAGATGAACTCTGAGTATACAGAGTTCAGGTTTTTCATAGTTGCAATCTGAGACAAGGACAGATTTTATTCAAAGCTTGTTGGCCTTAAGTGAAGTAGGAAGGCCTTTTAATGGTGAGTAGGGGACTTACAGACCCTCGGAATAATGGCAAGTGTTGGCTCTTGCAGGTAAGTCATTTGCCTTGGGTGTGACCTTGAAGCCTCAGGAACTCAGGATCATGATAAAGTCTGACCCTGTTCTCAACGGATTCCCAAGTTGATTTAGAATTCAGGGGTGGGGGAGATCATTATGGTGCCCAGGCTGACCTTGAACTCCTAAATTTAAGTGATCCTCCCACCTCAGCTTCCCAAGTATCTGGGACTACAGGTGTGTACCATTACACCTGGCATTAATCTTAAAACTCTGTCCCTCCTCTGGCTAGGCCTGCCCAAACACAGGAGCTTGTCATTATGTTTTTCTGACTCCTTAACGTTTTATTATGAGAGAAAAAGTAAATCTACAGAGAAAACACTGGAAAGCTCTGGAAAACAAAAGAAAAGGATAGGCGCAGAGGCCAGGCAGGCCTCGGGTACCCTGGTGGCGATGTCGACAGCAGTGTCTGACTGGCTCCGTCTCTCCATCTGGCCTGAACACTGCCTGGGGCCCGTGGCTAGGAGACGCTTCTCAGAGGTCATGTCATTCTGGGACTTGGAAAGCTCTAAAAAACAAACACAAAGTTGACAGCCAGGAGCACACAGCTTTGTCAAAGCCTGCAGAGGCCTCTGGGATTCCCTGCAACCCGCAGACCCAACTAGCCAGGAGGGCATCGCTGACCGAAAGGCAAGGGTGCCAGAGCCACTGCAGGCCATAGGAACACCGGGAGGGTGACCACTACTGCCTGCTGGACACAGGACAGCAGAGGGGCTGGATTCCTTTAAGGGCCCCCTGTGGTCACACAGGATGCCTCTGAGGGCAGAGCCCCAGGCTGGTGGGGGTTGAAGGCAAGCTTTCAACTTTCCCTGCAGTCTGGGTCCTTTGAGTCAGTATTCGCTTATCCAGATATAAAGGTGGCCCCCCACCAAGCCAGCTGGCTTTTCAGGGGCTCCTGACAATGATTTTAAGACTAAGTGCCATTCCTCATGACTCTTAGAGAAGGTAAAAGTAAGATCTGAGGTATCTTTATGACTATTTTAGTAAGCACCCCCTCAGAAGATGACTTAATTTTTTTCTACTGTCTTTGTACAATGGTGATGTAGAAAAAAGATGACTAAAGTATGAAAGAAGGAACCACACGAAAGAAGTGAAAGATCCACTTTACATGGACTCTTCCTCCAGGGGCCTCCTAGCGACTGTGGGCCTTAACGTTATCTCTAACACAGCACAGCTCCCTGCTCAGGGCATCATTTTTCTAGTAACCCACCTTAAGGAAAAGGAAACAGGTGGCCTTAATTTTAATTTTGTGTTTCATATAATGTATCTAAAATGTTACTAAGCATGTAACCAATATTACAGTTACAAAAAGATCGAGATGTGATGTGTATGCACCAGTACACCACAATGAATATATTCTGTACTACAAATATATACCAATAAATTTTCTTAAAACTATTGCAGTGATCTGTGGAACCATTACTTTTAAACATCCAATCTCTGAAACTGGTACACAGCTTACGCCAGCAGCACACCGTGGCTTCATTTCAGGGCTGGAGAGCAACCTGTGGCTATGAGCTACTGTAAGGGACAGTGTGGTTCCAGACCAGTCCTCTGACTTTCTGTCCCTCACTGAAGCTATCAGCTTCCTGTCCTTCCTGAGCTATCACGACATGAATCCCTAACCCTTTGCTCTTCTGAGCTCTCCCCTGTCTGCACTGCTGGGGGAGATTCAGGGATCTCATTTCAGAGAGGAAGACCCTGCCCCTGCTCCCCAACCCCTAGGCCACCCACCTGCCACCCCTCCTCCCAGCCTCTGTTCTGTGAGGGCCACACCAGCCCTGTATCCTCAAGTCTGCCATCCAGAAGTGTCTCAGGGCACCTCCCTACGGCTGGCAGCAGGAAGCCCACTCGGGTCCTCTAGCTGATGACCTCAGTGACCTCCTGAGCCTGCCTGGGGAGGATGTGAGAGGGTCCAGTTTCCACCCTATCGGGCAATGGGTTGTTCCTGCAGCTACCTATGTCAGGTACCCAAAACCTGTACCTATTCAGTCCCCTCCAAGTCACAGACTGAGGAGGAATACGGCCCTTCTCACGTAAACTGGGTTCTAAGGAGTGGGCTTATACAACAGCCTGCTTTGGGGAAGAGTGGGAACAGAAGGGAACACAGGTGCCTCCCGAGCAAGAATCAACATCCTCCTTCCTGTCTAAGGGGGCTATCATGCTGCCATCCCTTAGCAATTAGCAATTAGCAAGTACAGGGAGGGCTGGAAAAAAGCCTTTCTTCCAGTTGGCTCGGGCAACATTAGCAGCCAGAAGCTGTAATTCTGCACCGGTTTTCTCAGCCCCTTCCCAACCCCTCCCTACAAGCCCCAGGTGCTAGCCTGACTCCCTCCCCACAGACTGGGGATCCCTCCACACCCACTTCTTTAGGGAAACGGGAAAGCAGATCATGAGGGTCAGGTGGAGAATCTCTCAAAATCTGAAGGAATGTGAATCAGTGACTCCAAGATGATATATGTTGGACAGGGACACGGTGAAGGGCAGCGCCGGCCATGGGGAGCCATGTGCCCCATGCCCGTGGAACCAGCAGGAAGCTCCCAGGAAAGACATATGGCCACTCCAAGGAGCCAGAAAGCTGTTTCTCTGCTACCCATACCTCTGGGCAACAGACTGGCTGAGGGCACAGGGTATAGGGTTTCAGCTGACTTCCTATATATGATGCTGTTTTGCTCTTGTGAATCCTCCCCCACTTGGGGATTAGCCCTAGCTGTCCACCCAGCCGTTAAACTGGTGAGTCTCCGATGTGTGGGCAGGTGCACACAGGTGAGGCTGGGGGCCAGCTGTAAGCACTCAGGTGCATTCAGGAGGGCAAGCAGTGCGTGACCCAAGTGACCTGCCTCTTTGGATTTCTGGGGCTAAGGGATCTCAAGGTTGGGTTACTAGCAATGGAGGGAGAAAATTCCCAAGAAGCATGGGAACTGGGGGAGGGGTGTGCACCTAGAAAGATGCAGAGAAGGTCCAGCCAGAAGGCTGCCTGTGGGAAGACAGCCAGCTGTCACAGCCAGGCTGATGGGCACGGGTTAGGGGTGAGGGGGTGCTCTTTACCCTCCCCGGGCAGTGTTATTAAACCAGCCCAAATCATTCAGCTGCTTCCCTCTTCTGAAAGAGACAGGACAGGCTGTGGCCTGAGATAGTGGCTGTTGCAGCTTATCTGAAAACAGGGCTTTAATTTCAATTGTCATGGGGCAGCTTAGCTAGGGTTTGTGCAGAATACAGATGACCAATTAAAGTCAAATTATAACACTGTCTCAGAGCTAACATACAACAATGAGCCCATCCATACCTGCAGAAAAAGGGATGATGAACAGAAACGAAACAGAAGAGGAGAGAGAGAGAAATGGATGTCTGAGGACTCCCAAGGTCATTAAGGACATTTCCTAAACACCTGATCAGCTCTGTGTAGCTCAGGATGCAGTAGAGGAGCCTGTCTTCTAGGACTTGCATTTTAAGATAAACAGAAAAAAATGTATCTGAACAGCAGGAACGCTGAAAGAGACAGGATTCCAAGCAGTGGTGGCTCTGGGTTACCCGCATTTACAAACTGAAGGATTAGTGCAAACTGAAGAAAATAGATTTCTCAAGAAGAAACATGGACAAGTAACACCAGGCAAATGACAGACACTAGGCTCCACGCAGCTTGAAAGATGCTGATTTTGGGTTCAGTGGAATCAGATCTTTATGTTTCCTTTGCTGGTCCCCTGGAAGGTCTAAATATGCCACGTTGCTTTGTCCCTGGGGCTGACAGGCACGTTTTGGCAACACAGAGGAAAACGAGGCATCCTAAAGGTATCCCCTTCTTCCCCAAGGAAGCAGAAGCCTATTCTGTAGGCGACGGGATGAGGGCCAGGCGCTGTGGCTTTCCCCTGGGTCTGGGAACAGTTCCATCTGAGGTCACCAGGGCGGCCTGAGTGGTGGGAAGAACACATCCCGAGGTATCCACTTACTTTTCATGTGGGTGGCAACAGACAGAAACAAATTTTCCATGGACTTATTAAATCCTTTAAACTGACCAAGTTCCTGTAACTAAAAAGAAACAGGAGAATGAGTTATGTTCTGTGGCCTGTGTTTGCCCTCTCATCTCCAGGATCCTGGCCGCCAAACACTGCGGGTGGGGCTGGGTGCTCAGGGTGTGTGCGGGTGTAGGTGTATGCATGCGTGTCCAGAGGTGGCGGGGACACAACCTCCCGAGAGACAGTAGCCTCTGCACTCGGCATCTCTCCTCTGCAGCCTGACGTCCTCATTAAAGGAAGGAGCATTATCAATGACTTGCTCACAAGATAACAGCTACCACTTCATTTTTATTAGCTCATTGTACCCAAGTAAATCACTGCTGGTTTAACCTCCTTTCCCTCATAGCCCTACCCCAACTCCATGCAGAAGAGGTGTCAACCTGAGCAGAATTTAGGTAAAATACAGGCTCAGGATGGTATACGGTACAAAGAGACCAGCCTGGCACCAAGGACTTCTGCCTATGAAAGAAGAAATGATTGCAAAGACATAGAGGAGGGAAGAAAAGAGGGGAATGGTGGAAACAAACAGGAAAGTGATCACTTCCTTCTCTAAGTCTCACCTGTCCATTCATCTACCTTCTATCCATTCATCTACAGACCATCATCCATGTCCACCCAACTGCCCATCCATCCAACCATCCACCGTCCATCCAGCAGCTCATCCATCCATACATTCAACCATTTATCTATTCACTGGCCATCCACCTACTGTCTACTCCTCCAACTACCCACCGTCCGTCTAACCATGCATTGTTCATTCAACAGTCTATCCACCTACCTAAATCCAGCCAGCCATCCATCCTCCCACCATCACCCTCCATCCAATAAGCATATTGCAACTCAAATACATAGGTGCTAGGAAAGCTGTGGAGAATTTAAAATCTCAAGGAGAAAGTAGACAGGACTTTGGATGTTACCCCAGAGTCTCAGTGTGAAACTGGAAAAGAAGGTACATCTTTTTTCTCTCTCATAGGGAGACACGTATATTCTCCCATATACCAATATAATTGCTCCCTTAATTCACAGAATAATGAAGATAATCAAGACTATATGTTTTCATGGCACTTTACAGTTTCCAAGTACCCATGCGGTCATTATTTTGCTGATTTCTCACAGGAAACAAGCCAGGCAACTAGAATGATTCCCACCTCTGGTGGGAACCCCAGATAACTTCCCCAAGATCGCACAGCTAATTTCTTTGGACAGAAGTGGTGCTGATCTACTTTACATCAGAGGCTGCAGACACTCAAAAGATACACTCATATTCCACAGGCACTGCCAGGCTCACACACAAGTCAACTAGTAGTTTGCCTGGGGACCCTCAGGCACACTACTCCTCCAGACTTCACTCTCAAAGAGACAAGGCATAGTTAGGGAGCACAGCTGAGGAAGAGCAGAGAAGAGGACTCAGGACAGAGGCAGAAGGGGGTCAGCTAATAATGTAGACGGTCCTTGACCAGGAAATGAGGCTGAAAGCACCACCCAACCTTCACTCTCTGCCTCACCCTGGGACTCACTGTGGTCTAAGTTGGATCCCTCTGCAGCAAGGCTGCTAGCCCAACTCTCCAGCCTTTGTCCTCCCACCTCCCCACGTCCCACGCAGACAGTTACCCCGCCAGGGCTGCCGCTGCACTGGCTCTCACTGACAGGAGGCGGAGTAGGAGGAACCACGGAGATTGTGCTACCAAGGAAAAAAACAGGAGTAAGAGGTTGCGAACTACGCAAGTCGCTAGTTTTACAAATGTATGGTGTCATTATTCTATAACTCAAGCTCTCAGCTTTTTTTTTTTTTTTTTGCTTGTTTCCAACTGTACTGATTTTTGGAAAAAGATTCAATAGCCCTGCTTGGACCTGCTGCTCAAAGGGGCATTGTTCTGGGATCTGAGAGCTGACTGCAGTCTAGGCATCCACTCTGCCCCAGCGTTGTGGGGAGCAAGGGAGCCCAGGCTTCATGTGCAGGGTCCCTTCTGGACCCCTGTGTTCTCCCAGTGTGAGCCAAAGCAGCAGAAGGGCCACAACATAGTAGGTTAAAGAAAAAAAAGAGAGAAACTAGGGGTGTGGGCTAAAAAGTGGGAACAAATGGAGGAGGAAAAAATGAAGTTCTGAGACTGGACAAAACTCATCACAAGACCAAAAACTGGCAGCTGGTAGGAATTCTCAGAAAAACCTGAGTAAGTCCAGAGCAGTGAGCTGTGTGGACTGTGGCCAGTTGCAAAGTTGTGAGGGGTTAGAATTTGGTGCAAAGACGTTAACATCTCTCAGACCATTATTCAGTGGTGCCAGTGTTTACTCCACAAATATCTCTGAGGTGCCTGGCACTAGGTAAGGTTTAGAGATATGAGTGATTAATTAAAGCAAGTGCTTGGTTTTGAATGTCATCAAATGTGTAATCAGAAGTGGTATTTCATTTTCTTACAACTTCTCAGGAGAGTGCAAGACACAAAGCAGAATGCTGAGTGAGAAAACACTGATAGCTACAAGGCTCCTCAGGAGACTCTGGAAACATCTTTGCTTAAGCCTTTTCCAGGTACTTTATCACTATAAAAAAAAAAAGTTGCATTCCAAAGTGGTGACCTCTGAAAGTCAAGAGATCAGTAAGTTCTTTCAAGGTGTCCTCTGCACTCCTGCCCTGCAGGGCCGATCTGTCCTTTGTAACACTCACCTCAGCTTCTGATAAGATTGCAGGAGCTTTGCCCCAGCTGTTTCCCGTTTGCCTGGAGGAGAGATCAGTAAAGGTCACTTGATAGTGAGAACACAACAGAGGTGCTGCACATACAGGAAGCAGTAAAATTAAAATTATTTTTCTAATATCACTTTTAAAAATCATTCTCATTTTAAATTTATGTATGTTTGCCATATATAATAGGTACGTTCACTTTGGGGAATTAGTACATATATATAACATACCTTGATCATTTACTTCTCGTGATAAAATAGAGATCATTTTGGGGTGACAGAAAGGCTCAAAAATTAGATTTTGGAGGATGACTTTACAGCTCTCAATTTACTGAAAATTATTGACTTATATATCAATATAGGTGATTTTTATGTTATAGAAATTGTATAATTATACTGCACTACACACACACACACACACACACACACACACACGTGCACACACCCCAGAGTAAGACCATAATAGTTGGGAATGACTTTTTATTAAAAGTTGGTGTTGAATTAGATTTTCTAAATCTGGATAATTTGAAAATAGTTCAGGCTTCCAAGCCTCTATTTGCCCTTCGGAAAGATTTCATAATTGAATGACTATATTCCTCCAAATGTTCCTTGTGATGAAGATTAAATTAATCTCTTTAAAAATATAATCTACTTATATCTTGTTATAGTGGCTAATTTCCCAAATCAGACTGCATCTAGTATATTACCTTCTTTGTTTCAAGGAAAGAGATTTTCCTAATGTATTCAGATCCCCATAATGAAATGCTGCATGTCCATAGTTCCACAATCACAACGCTTCCTGGCCACATGCTCAGGAAAGGCTCTGTCCCTGAGAGAAGCCAGGCCTCCAGCTCAGGGAGATTCCCAGAGCCTGTACTCGCTCCTGGCAGGTTAGACCAGCTTCTGGTTTTTCTGTTTGGGAGATTTTGATCCATTCCAAAGACAGATTTAGCTATGAGCATCATTTCTCATGACACAGCAACAGACAGGGGTGGTGAGAAAGTTAGGCTGCGCAGGGGCACCTCTGGAGCGGAAGGACATCCCCATGTTAAGCTCTTGATATCAAGCCCCAAATCTCAAAGTGAAGGTGCCCTCCAGACAGGGTCCTCAGTGGCTCTGAGGGCAGGAGCGCCTGCAATGGTGTCTGAACTGTGGACTCTACCTGTCTGGGTGCATCTTTGTGTCCTAAAGGTGTTCAGTGGGTCCTGAAAAGAACCTCAGAGCCCCCACCCTCCACGTTAAGAAATACTTCTCTAAAGCAGAACAAAAAGGTTTTAAAAGGCGTCGCCCGAACAGTTAACCTAGTAGAACCAGCCCGCGATGGGTGAAACTGACATCCACAAAAGCCACTGTCAGGACTGTGTCCTGGCTAGAAGCAGAGAGCGCCGATTTCAACGCAGCACGGTGAGCATAAAGCAGAGAAAAACCAGGAGAGAGAAAGTAGAAAACAGTGACACTGGTCAGCAACCAGCCAGCTCTGGGGTGAAAACGAGGAATGCAAGAGACAGTGGCTTCTGAAGATTCTGGGTGGGGCTGTTCCTGGGAGACAGGTCTGTGGCGGCCTCACTTAGCCCCTCTTCCTCTTGCTTTGGGCTGGTGCGACTGCAACCCCTGAGGCACAGACACCAAAGACAGCTCCCTCTTGCCAAAGCCAACGCTACCGGTCTACCACCCAAGCCCTTCAGCGACCCCCTGTGCCTGCACCGGAAGTCCAGGCCCTGTGTGGTGTCCCCCTGCTGCCAGAGCCCTCCCACGCCCTGCAGGCCTTGCCCTTGCCCTTGCCCTTTCCACTCCAGCGATGTCAACCTGCTTCTTACTGCCCCACTTACGTAGGCGTCACCTCAACACTGCTCCCACCATTACTGGCCCCTCCAGCCCCTCCTACCTCAGACCCTCCAGTAAAGAACCCTAGCTTCTCACCCCTGGTCACAGGGACCCCTATAGGTGGCTTTCTTGCGGCTCCGTCTATGCATGGGTCTCTGCTGCCCCCTGCTGGCTATGGCAACCTCGGGAACAGGCACTTTCTGTAAAGGCCAAATAGAAGCATTTTAGACTCTGGGACCACAGCGTCTCCGCCACCATTTAACTCTGCCTAGAAAAGCAGCAGGGGCATATTAAAGAGGGCTGCATTCTGGTCAAACTGTGTAGGCATTGAAATTATATATATACTTTTTAATATATATATTTATTTATATTTATATTTATTTATTTATGGGGGCAATAGGGATTAAACCCAGGGCCTTCGCACTGGAATGCTTTCCCAGCCCTGTTTTATTTTTTTCAGTTGCCCCAGCTGGACTCAGACTTGTGATCCTCCTGCCCCAGCCTCCCAGAGCACCGGCATTACAGGTCTGCACAACCACACCGGGCTCTTCCTTTGTATGTGCTACAAATATTAATACTTTTTAACTATTTAAAATATAAAAGCCTTTTTAGCTCACGAGACATATGAGAACAGGCAGAGCTCCAGCCCACCCACAGTCTGCCCCAGGTCCTTGCTGCTCCACATGGCACAGGTTGGGGAGCTGGGAGGCCACATGGAACCCCAGGTCCAGTCCCAGCCCTGCAGATCCAAACCTGCCCGGGTATAAGATCCAGGCAACTGCTTCCAGCAGCGGCAGAAGTGCGGCCCCACGCTGCTGTGTCCCTCATCCTGCCCACTGCCACGTTACCCGCGCTGCTCTTCTAGTCCTCAGCTGTTCTGGCCGGAGGCTCCTCCAAAGGTGCTGAATTTTTTGCTAACATGCATTAAACTCAAGTAAGCACTGTGAGGAAGCCAGCACAGGAGGCCTCCAAAGAGCAGCTGTTTGGGCCTCAGAGTCCTGCCGTTCTGCCCAGGGGTCCAGACGGCAAGGCTTTGCCACACTGCAGGGAGAACCAGCCCTGGGTCCCAGTGCTGTCAGGACCACGGCTGACCTCCACACAGGGGGCACAGTGAGAGAGGGCCACAGGGGAACGTAGGACGAGGACTGGGTTACCTGCCTGTTCCACAGGATTGAGTAAGAGTCTTCACTGAAAAAACCACCGACATGGTCTTATTTAGACCTCTCTCGCCCCCGGGGGGAGCTTAGCACCTCCCAGGGAGAAAACTCACGGCCCAGATCTGCTCCCAGGGAAAAGAACATGCTGAGATGCTTCACCGCGGAAACACCAGGGAAACAGGATACTAGGCCACCTGGGCCCAGATAAAAAGAAAGAAGAGGTCATTAGGGTGAGTCTTTAAAGTCCAAACCTAACATGACTGCATCCTTATCAAAAGGGGGAAATGGTCCATATGGTGGTGCGCACCTTTAATCCCAGCACTCTGGGAGCCCAAAGACAGAGAATCACAAGTTCGAGCCCACTTGGGCAATTTAGTGAGGCCTTATATCAAAATGGAAGCATTTAAAAGGGTTGGCTGTGCAGCTCAGCGTGAAGGTTCTGGGTTCAATCTTCAGTACCACAAAGTTGGGGGCTGTGGAGGCACAGAATTTGAATACAGAACTAGACATGCGTGGGGAAAAATGATGTGAAATGGCTATACAGCAATAGGTAGAAACTGAAATGAAGCCTCTACGGGCCAAGGACATCCATGAGACCAGGAGGAAGCATGGTTTCATTGACACCTTAATTTTAGGCTTCCAACTTCGAAGCCATGAGATAATAAATTTCTGTTGTTTGAAGCTTACAATGTACCAAAGATTGTTGCAACTTGTTATAGGAGCCCTGGGAGCTATTCAGAGGCCCCTTGTGATTTAGTCCCTACCTTCCTGTCCAGCGTCAGCTCTGCCCCTGTATTCTATGCACTCGGCTCTGGCCTAGCTGAGTTTTGCACTCAGTTCTGGCCTGAGGTTCCCACATGCCCTGTGCCTGCCCCACACCTTATGTCTTCCGTCTGCTTGGACCATACCTCATCCACACCCTCTGCTCAGGGCCACTCTGAAGGTATCTTCACAGGATCTTGGTGACTGTCCTTGCCAGGCTGGTCCTATAGCAGTTACTATGCATATTTTCACTCAAGTTCCTCCAACTACACTGGAATCAGCTCGCTCTTGTACCTGTCTCTCTCCCCTAATAGGCAGAAAAGTCCAAGGATGTGCATCTTGGGTGTCCCCAGCATCCAGAAGAAGGCTTGCTGTGCAGGAGGAGGTGGTTATAAACACGACATTGATAGCAATCAATTCTAGCTTAACAATAAGCACTCCCTACACAAACTGCAGGAGGACCAGGGGTATCAACAGCTCCAGCTCAGAGTTCAGCAAGGAATCCTGCACTTGTAGCTGGTGTGTATATGACAAATCACTATATATCTATGTGTGCACTTCTCTACCTTATAAAAATAGAGATAAAGCAACTTATTTCAGATACAGTTCATGAACTCAATTCTCTCTATGACTTTGGTTGCAAACTGAACTGGATGAGAACTGAATTAAATTTCCCATAAGATCAGCATTGAACTTCTAGCCATTGAATTTGATGTTGTTCTTGTCCACCTCAGTTTGTGACCAGTACTGTGGGAAGAATTAAGTTCATGATTCAAGGTGCCAGTACATGTGTACAAATTCCTATAAATGGACTCCTACCCCAAGCTGGGATCTCTTGTGATGCTGGCCGACCACACTTACTCCCGAGCATGCCGGCACCCTGGCCTGTGACTCCTGTAACAGTGCCAGGCCCTGTCACCTCAACACTTTCTCTGGGTTGACTTGGTTCACAGGAAAAGAGGGGTACAGGGAAGACTCCTTGAAATGCCCCAGTGTGGCTCACTTAATCACCAAGTCAAATTGCTCAGAGTGGCTGAGGGGTTTCACATCCACCCTGCACAGTCTGTGTGGGCCCGTCCTCTTTCAGGACTTGAGCATGAATGTCCTCTCCTGTGTGGTGAGGCCCTGCATCAGTTCTTACTTAATGGAGATCATCGATGCCCATGCAGCCTTATGGGGTCATGTTGTGGAGCCAACAGGGAGGTCAAGAGGAAGGGTGGCCTGTCCAGTGTCCGCCTCTCTGCCCGTGCCTGTGGATTAGGGACAGGATCCTATGCAGGAAACCATATATTGCA